ATATATATATATATACACATTTATATATATTTACTTATACCCTAAGAATAGAAACAAATATAATCCTGTTCAAAAGTTTATATCCCCTTTCTAAGTAACTTTCTTTTCTGCTGTCCTTTGTTTTTTTCCCCCTTGTCTGCTCACCTCTGCATCTCTTCCCATCCTGTGTTAATGTGTAGCCGGTGTGACAAGTGCAGTGCACCAGACCTCGAGACATCTGGCATTTCTGTGAGCAACCTCCGTTGTTAACATTACAATTTTCTTCACTTGACTTGGAGCCTATAAACACACACAGGCAAACATTTGAAATGTTAACAGAGGGGGGAGTGTGATATATTCAGAGGAACTACCACTATTTGTCTTATGTGAGATTTCACATGCATGCAATAGTGCATTGTTTTTGTAGACTCACGGCAGTCCTGGAATGGATGTTCATCAGTCCCATCTTCACAGTCTTTGATGTCATTACAGACCTTACGCTGGCCAATACAGCGGCCATTCTCACACAGGAACTGATCCGACGCGCATGGAGGAGTTTCTAAGAAACAAGGGGAATGTAAAAAAGAAACAGAATAAGTAATGCAGCAAAGGTTATTGAGCAGATATTAGAAAATATTAATGCTTTTTGTGCACATTGTCAAGATATCCGTGTAGGCCATTTCAGAAAACAAAACTAAGTATGCACACCATGCGAAAGTTTAATTCTTAACAACTCTCAAAATGCTTCTTAAAGATAAAATAGTATTAATGAAATAAAAGGCCACTTAAAAGGCACAACATGTAAGATTTTGGGATTCAATTATCCAAAAACCACTAGAACAATGTTATATTTTTTGTCAGAAACAATACTATTTTGTAGGGCTGCCCCAACTAAAGATTTTTCTAGTCGACTACAAGTCGTACATTCAAGCCATTAGTCGACTAATCACACGTTTGTTTTCATTTATTTACTTAAATATATACACTCAAGCGCACACATAAAGCTTGAGCCCTTTTATTTATTTATTAATAATAAACTAGTGTTTTTTTTTTGTTTTGACCAAGTAAAACAGCACTGCGCTCCCCCACAATTTTAATTAGTCAAATAAAAGAGGAATGTTTGAGTAGTAATTCAGCACTTGTGGCTATTTCATTAGAATGAAATAAAATAATGCGAATAAGTGATTGTAACAACGCTCAAGTTCAGGGAAGGAGGCCAGGGCTCCTTTACTAAGAGACTACTCATTTACTAAAAGTTTTTTTTACTAGGAGCGCTGTTGCCCCTGACTGAAAATTTTAGTGCAAGCAGAAAATTTAGGGGCACAATTTAAATCAGCTTACAATGCAATTGTTCAAATTTCCCCATAAATAACTGTAATACTGACTAATTACTTAATAATAAATAGACTTGAGATATCGTCTTTTAAAAATCAGGACGTATAATTGCCTACAAAAACGACTTGATTCGGACTACAGCTGGTTTTTAGACGTCACTAACCCATGCATTTGCATCAACCCTCCCTCCGGAATATGCAGAAAAGGGCATTTTGTGTCTATGACAAACGCGTACTAACATTATGGACCTGAATTTTCTATAAGTACTAATGTTTTAAATGTATTTTTCATGTATATATGCTTTATGACGTTATTTTCGATTTGATCAAGAACGTAAACGCCAATGCTGTTTGAGTATAACATTAGTAGCCAGACAGATGCTATTGTGTAAAACAAACGTGTATAAAGTTAAAAAATGTAGCAAATTATCATTCAGAAACGTTTATTAAGAGCCGTGTGTGGTGAGGTTCTGTTTGACTCGCTTCATCGCGGCTTTCTCGTTCTGATTATGCCTCAAACTGATACTGCAGTTCGACACATATTTACATCTGGACCGGAGCTCATGACATGCATGTTTCGCCCGTAAAGGTAATGGGCGTTAACCTTCCGGACAACGGGAGCGACAGTTTAGCCAATCAGAACACACCAGGCCAAACTAACCAATCTGAGCCCACTCCGTGTTTCTGAGGGAGTGGTTTCATAGACTCAGGAAGTGAACCGCTCGTTCAGGGGACAGAAACGTGAAGTTTATGGAAAAATAAGACTTTAAAAAAAAAGGAAAAACCACGAATACATGTTATATTACACCCCATAAACACAATCATGCAAAGAAAAAAAAGCAGTCAACCCCCCCCTTTAACTTTACTTTTAGTTAACTAACTTTAGTTAGTTTTTTTTTAAATAAGTGTTTAAATAAGAGTTTTCCAACATCTTAAAATTTTTCATTCTAGGACAATCTTTGAAGGATGAAAAAAGTTGTTGGTCATCACAAAAAATAAAACATTTATATATGATATTATAGTTTTGAAGTGCTGAAAAAGGATGTGTAGGCTATTTGTAAGCGTTTGACTATTTCTGTCACATTATCATATTTATGGTTAGAGTTAAGTTACTTCATTAGCCTTCTATAAGTGTTTCTCCTGGTTTCCACGTCAGCGCTGTTTGATCTGATATCTGATATATCATAACAGAACTCTGCCCCGAATCGGAATATTTCTCACTGGATCTCGTAGTGATGATGTTATTCATTCTGAGGCGAAATCAAAGGATTTCTTCACTGGATCTCCTAGTAACAGTGTCGCGTGATTGAGAGCGGCCCGCGACTGGAAAGTTCGGGACTTTATTTTACAGTCAATGGTTCGGGGTGCTACTCCATGGATGTACATAAGAAAGGCTATGCGCTGCTCTGTCTATTATTGGTCTAATAAACGGTCCGTGAAGCATACGAGTAGGGTATTTCCGTTTCACATTCAATTTGTTTGCATTCGCTACTCGGTAACAAGTCGATAGATCGCTTATTGCTCAGACGCACATAGCAGGTTGTGATATTTGTCTCCGTCTCCTTCCCACAGATGTTTACGCACGCTAGGGGTTTCACAACTACTGATTTTTGCTAGTCGACTAGTTTTGCATAACAGTCGACGACTAGTCGACTACTCGTTAAATGGTTTATTCTAGGGGTGTGCGACATCACGAATAGTAAATGTCTCCACGATCTGCTTTTGAAGAAATATGGTAGTAGTATCGTGTTACAGTGCATTCTATCAGTTCTGGCGCCTCTGTCTCAACTGTACAACGCGACGTAGCCTACACATCACACGGTAAGGAATAGTTACGGGACACTGCAATTCACAAAAGTTCATTGTTTGCATACGCCTTGCCGGTTAAACATTTAATTCACGTGCTGTTCTAACGTGCGCTTTCCTGAGCGCGCGGCATATCCCCGACGCTCACAGGCATTAGAAGCCTGTCAAACAGCGCCTGAATACTGGACTAAGTTATCTTTCAAGTCTTATTATGCTAATACTGTTAAATACACACAATGTTTACATAAACAGAATTGGCTATGTCTAAAGTGAAAGCAAACATTTGAGAGAAAATCTGGTGTAGGCTAATATGCGTCTATATTAAACACATCGCGTGCTGGTCTAAAAGCGAGAGTAGTAGGCTACTCGTATTTTCCGCACTATAAAGCGCACTTAAAAGCCTTTAATTTTCTCAATCCGGCCTTTTCTCAAGCCTTATAATCCGGATTGCATTATATATGGATCAATTGCTCGCGCTCGTGTCCATCTTATGCCCGCTTTGAACAGACACTGCTGTCAGCAGGCTGCGAATGTGAGTGTCACGTGCCCGCCCCAGCGCGCTCACGCTTACTAAATAAACGCCTCACCTCCGACGCCGCGCACTCGCTGCATTCCCTTTAGCACATCTAGTGGATGCATAATGCAAACCCAGTCAAACGTTTGAAAAATGTTCTAAAATAGGTCATTGAAGGTGCGCCTTATAGTGCTTATAGTATATAGTACTGGGATAGTTAACAAAAAATATATATCTATATATATGTCATCATTTTGTTTCCGACTAGTCGACTAAGGCCAACAGCGCCAACTAGTGGTTGTGACAGTCGACTAGTCGACTAGTTGATGAAACCCCTAACGCACGCTATTCTTGTCAGACTCACTCATTCCGGATTCATTGATGCGCCCCTTCCACGCATAACCATGTGTTTAACGTGTGGCAAATTTACTGGTCGCACATTTTACATCCAGTCGCACACTCTAAAAAAATTTTGGTCGCAATATGCAACCATTTGGTCGCAGTCTGGAGCCCTGGAGGCGGCAAGAACCACAAAACCTTAAACATTCTTTAAACTTTAACCATGAAGTTAACATACACAACACGAAAACAGCAAAGTAACACGTCCCAGGCTCTTGGCCTGCCCTGCTTAATAAAACTTTAATACAGTCACTCAATCCATGATGTCTGCTTGAGTCCCGTCGTATTGCTTTACATCGGCTGTGGAGGTGAAGAGGGCGACTCCCATGACTCCACTTATTCACGGCGTCGTCAAGCTACGCCTTTGTTAATGTTCAGAACAAGCAGCAAAAAACTTGCATCTAGTTGGCTTTTATATTCCTTACCTGTCTTTTCACAGCCTTCTTCATCACTGCCATCAGAACAGTCATTTTCTCCATCACAGCGCCATGATAACCGCACACATCGGCCAGACATACAGCGAAACTGATCAGCCATGCACATCGATGTGCCTGACGGTGAGAAAGAGGCATGTCACAGATGTCAAATACACTCACACACAAATATTACAATAAAACTGTTACTCACTGCAGTTCTTTTCATCTGATTGGTCGTCGCAATCGAATTCTCCGTCACACCTCCACCCTCCATTTATACACATGCCACTGCTGCACATGAACTCTGCAGAACGGCAGGGTTGATGGGAGGCTGCGTTCACACACACACACACACACACACAACCAAATCAGACATACACACTACTCCCCAAAAAATGTATATTAAAATATTTAAATATAGGCCTATTTGTAATGAAGTTGCAATTTAAAATATATTAAAATTAAATGTAATATCAGTTAAAATGGTTTAGCAACATACTAACGCATATGCAAAGTACTTGCTTCAAAATAAGTGTACTTCTTTAAAGCATGACAAAAGATTATTAAAACAAATGTACTTTTTAATAATGTTAAATTAAAAGTTTTACTTTAAAGTACGAGTACTTACACGTTCAGAAAGTACTTAAGTTCACATTAGTGACATTATATTTCATTAATATTATATTACCTGCAAGTACAGTTTTTAAAAATGGAAAGATTTGAAGAAAACTACAAGTGCCCATTTAGAAAAAAATAGGGTTTTATAATAAGGGTTGTTTCATTAAAAAAATATATTTTAGGTATATTTATTAAGTCCTACTTTAGGTGGGCCAAAAAGCAGCAAAGTGCATTTGATATAAATTTAAACTACAATACATTTCATTTAATTGCAATTACCATGCAAGTAAGTGCCTGAAGACATTACATTCAGTTTCAACTTAAATGTATTATTACCCTAATAAGTATGCTAAAACGTATTTCTCTTTCAAAAGGGAAAATGTATAGATTTATTTCTAATGATTGTGAGTAGAGAGAGAAAAGAGGCATTTCAAACAAAAGGAAGAGAGTGAATGATCCTCACAACAGTCGGACTCATCAGACCAGTCACCGCAGTCGTCATCTCCATCACAGTGGTAGATGTCCAGAATGCAACGACCATAAGCACACTGAAACTCCTCAACACTGCATGTGGCTGTCATCACATCAGATGCTGGAGAGAGAAATTATGTAACACGAGTTACACACCCACACACACATGCACCCTGAAACAGTCCAACAAATCCCTCAGCACAGTTATTTGCACAAAATGAAAAACAAATATGTGACCCTGGTCCTGGACCACAAAAGCAGTCTTATGTCTGATTTATACACCACATGAAGGCTGAATAAATAAGCTTTCCATTGATGTATGGTTTGTTAGGATAGGACAATATTTGGCAGAGATACAACAACTATTTGAAATTGGGAATCTGAGGGTGCAAAAAAATCTAAATATTGAGAAAATGGCCTTTAAAGGTTTCCATTTCTGTTGGCGATTGTGCTGCGTCCACTTTAAAGTAAATGTATATAGGTAGGAAAGGTAGGAAATTTACTAAATATCTTCATGGATCATGATCT